TGGGGGCTGCGCTGGGGGCGGGGGGGGGCACCCACAAAGCCCCTGTTGTGGGGCCGGCGGAAACCCCCGAGGGGGGACACAGGGCCAGGGCAGGGGGGTGGCTGCCACCCAGGGGGGCTGGGACCCTGGCAGTGTCCCCTGTCCCGCCCCCCTGGGGTGGCGGGTGCTCCCCGTGGGGTGCTGCATGCACGGGGAGGCACGGGGGGTCCCCCTCATCCCTGGGGCCGTGCGTTCGCAGCCCCTGGCAGGGCCTTGCTGTGCTCCCCCTCCTTGCGTGGGGCCACCCGTCACCCTCGCCCTGCCTGGCCGGGGCCGGGGCCACGTGCCGTCCCCACGGGGCGCAGGGCGAGGAACGCGATGCCGGACGGGGGGCTGAGGGCAGCGGGGCTTGGGAGGGTCACGGGAGGGGAAGCCCCCCGAGCGGGGTTATCCCCCATGGGGGGGGCGATGGGGCCATGGCCCCTGGCCGGGGGGATGCGATGGGGACGGACCCTCGCCCTGCCTGGCCGGGGCCGGGGCCACGTGCCGTCCCCACGGGGCGCAGGGCGAGGAACGCGATGCCGGACGGGGGGCTGAGGGCAGCGGGGCTTGGGAGGGTCACGGGAGGGGAAGCCCCCCGAGCGGGGTTATCCCCCATGGGGGGGGCGATGGGGCCATGGCCCCTGGCCGGGGGGATGCGATGGGGACGGGGGGTGGGTGCGTGGCCCCCGCTCCCAGCCCGCCGGAGCGCTATAAATAGCCTTGGCCCCGGTCCCGGGGGACGGGGACGGGGAGGGGGGAAACCACAGCGCTCCCGCTGCAGCCATCTCCGCTTCCCGGCCCTCCCCCGGCTTCCTCCGCTTCCCGAGGGCCCGCGGGGCCTGGCTGTGTCCCCGTGTCCCCCCTGCCCCAGGTCCCTGCGTCCTCATATTCCCCGTGCCCAGGGTCCCCAGGTCCCCCCTGCCCTGGTTTCCTACACCCCCAGGTCCTCGTGTCTCCCCCTGCACTGGGTTCCTCAGGTCCCCCACATTCACCCTGCCCTGGTCCCCTGTGTCCCCATGTCCCTGCAGCCCTCCCCACCCCGGTTTCCCATGTCCCACATCCCCTTCCCCAGTGTCCCCAGGTCCCTGCATCCCCTGTGCCCTGGGTTCCCATGTCCCTATGTGCCCCACATCCCCCTCCCCCTGGTCCCCTGTGTCCCCAGGTCCCTGCAGCCCTCCCCACCCTGGTTTCCCATGTCCCACATCCCCCTCCCCAGTGTCCCCAGGTCCCTGCATCCCCATATCCCCCTCCCTTGGGTCCCCATGTCCCTCCTTGCAGCCCCTCTGCTCCTCCTGACAGCACCCCCCGTACCGCAGCCGGGGTTTTGGGGTGCAGAGGAGGGTGGCAGAGCTGGCCAGGTCTTGCCGTGGGGCCGGGGTTTCCCAGGCGGCCGTGCTGAGCCCACCTCCCTCGCCAGCTCAGCGCCAACGCCCTGATCTTCCTCTGCACCAACGTGGTGGGGGTCTGCACCCACTACCCGGCCGAGGTGTCGCAGCGCCAGGCCTTCCAGGAGACCCGTGGCTACATCCAGGCGCGCCTGCACCTCCAGCGCGAGAACCGCCAGCAGGTGGGCTGGGGTCCCGGGGGTCCCGGGGACAGCGGGGTCTCCCGCGCCGGGCTGGGGGGTCCATCAGGGCCCCGGCCCCCCGCTAATGGGGTGGTGCTGGGGTGCAGGAGCGCCTGCTGCTCTCGGTGCTGCCCCAGCACGTGGCCATGGAGATGAAGGAGGACATCAACACCAAGAAGGAGGACATGATGTTCCACAAGATCTACATCCAGAAGCATGACAACGTCAGGTACCGTGGGGCCAGACCTGCCTCTGCCTGGGGCTCTCTCTGAACCTCAGCCCCACAGGGCTCCTGGCTGGGAGATGGGAAGGGCCTGAGGGGAGTGGGGGGCCGGGGGGGCTGGGGGGGGTCCCAGAGCCCCCCTGACCTGCCCGCCCCCCCCAGGAGAACCACTGCCTGCGCATCAAGATCCTGGGGGACTGCTACTACTGCGTGTCGGGGCTGCCGGAGGCGCGCGGGGACCACGCGCACTGCTGCGTGGAGATGGGGGTCGACATGATCGAGGCCATCTCGTGAGTAGGGCAGAGCATGGGGGATCGCGCCCGTCCCCGGTGCTGGCGCGTCCCTGCTGCTCGCCGGCCCAGGACGCGGTGTTGCGGTGCCTTGGGCTGACACGGCGGTGCCGGTGCCGTCCGCAGGCTGGTGCGCGAGGTGACGGGGGTGAACGTGAACATGCGCGTGGGCATCCACAGCGGGCGGGTGCACTGCGGCGTCCTGGGGCTGCGCAAGTGGCAGTTCGACGTCTGGTCCAACGACGTGACGCTCGCCAACCACATGGAAGCGGGCGGCAAAGCCGGGTGAGCCGGGATGGAGGGGCTGGGCTGGGGACCGGGGTGCAGGGCACGGGGCAGGGGGGCTCAGCACCTTCATCCCCCCCCCATCCCCAGGCGCATCCACATCACCTGGGCGACGCTGCAGTACCTGAACGGGGACTACGAGGTGGAGCCAGGCCACGGGGGCGAGCGCAACGCCTACCTCAAGGAGCACAACATCGAGACCTTCCTCATCGTCGGCTGCAGCCAGAAGCGCGTGAGTCGGGGGGCCCGTGGGGCGGACACGGCGGGGGGAGCCGGGGCCGCCCCTCTCACGGCCGCGTCGCCCCGCAGAAAGAGGAGAAAGCCATCCTGGCCAAGCTGCAGCGGGCTCGCGCCAACTCGATGGAGGGGCTGGTGCCGCGCTGGGTGCCCGAGCGCTCCTTCTCCCGCACCAAGGACTCCAAGGCCTTCCGGCAGATGGTGAGCGGCCTCGGGGGGGGCGTCGGGCATGGGGGCCCCCACCGCGGTGGTATCGGCTGCTCGCCGCCTT